AGACTGACTGGATCAATGAAAGCCTTACTCTAAAGGTTCCCATCTACAAAATTACATTCTTTACAGCAGGTGAAACCTTATATACCCCTTCTCTGTAACATCTAGAAGGGAATCTTACCTGTAATCACCTAGTTATGTTTTGTTCCCACATCTCAGCAAAACATGCCTTGCAGCTCGTATCTCTCCTCTCTGCTGTGATAAACTGGTCACAGCAGCTCTCTGAAAAGCTTTCAGGTGACTTTTAATCTGCTTGCCTGCTGATCAATGAATGGCTGCTTTAATCAGATTATGAGAACTATGGCTACCCAACACAAACATTTAATGCTGGGGAGGCTATATAAATAACTGTGGAGATCTGTCTTCTGATCTTAAAGGGTTAAAAGGTTAGTAGAAGAAAGTGTTGCGCAAGCAACATCCAAGCAGAGGGTAGCACTCTCTCTCCTTCACTAGGAAAATGCTATGGCATCAGTATAAGCATGAGCAGATACTGTTTGCTGTTGGCTTATATAGGCACAACTGCTTCCAGATGAGTGGGACACAGAGCTTGTGTAACATAGCACTGCATGCACAAACAAATCTGACCAATTAAAGAATGCTTCTTCCTTCACCTGATCCATGCCCATCATTTGCCCACATACAGAAAGTTATCAAATACTCTACAAGCAGAAACATGGCCTGGTTTGCTTGTATTGAGATATAATCACCCCTGCTGTGACTAGCAGGAAACATTAAGGAATGCATTGATCTACGTTGCATTTCACAGTAAGCCGCTGCCATGGGTTAATTTACTCATGAGATGAGCGCTTGGTGCCATTCTGAATATACAAGCTGTGGCTGCAGTGTAGCACAGCTCATCAAGTCATACAAATATAGGCATCATAGGTTAATTTGGGGGTTAAGGACTGTTCAACCCTCAAATAATCCACAATGCCCAAGGTTACATGACATAACAAGCATATTAAAAATGGTGGCCAGCACAAGCCTGAGAGCCCCACAGCCACAGTAGCTTATTCTGACAGGTGAACTAGCAGATTGACAGGGTTTTCAGAACATGACAACGTACACTCAAGGCTGAGTATGTGCTAGTTTATTGTTGAACTGTAGGTTATCATGTTGAGTAAACCAGACATGCAAACAAATCATGGTTTGTTAACCATGAACAACCCACAAAGAGAAACCATGGTTATTGTTGGGTTTTGTGTTCCGAGTTGCTTGTAGTTAACAAACAACATTTCACACACAACCTTGTCATGATATGTGAACTCAGCCATTGTGTACAATGGCCATCCACTACCTTGTTTCAGGCTTTGGGCTTCCTATTGGCTGAGACACTAAGCTATTACTTTGGCCCAAAAATTTGACACAGGTTCAATAATGGGGATACAACTGTTACAATGTTTTAAAATATGTATATGAGTGCTTTTTAAAACCTTTGTTAACTGCCCAGAGAGTCTCAGCTAGTGGGTGATATAAAAATGAAATGAAATAAATGAATAAATTGGGGTGCAACACCTACACACAGACATGTAAAGGGAAGGTTATTACTCCCGGAAGTGGCAAAACGAGTGAAGAGAGCTCTTTACATAAATACTGTTTTTATATCTAGTTGCAGAACATCCCCTTTTGTGCCAGGAATATGCTTTCAGTTTTAGAACTTGATCTCATAATCCAATGGAATTTATAAAGGCAGACTTTTCTTTGAAATGTTATTTTCCATTTGGTTTGCAAGCTGCTTATATAGGCCTTTTACAAGGCAGCTAACGTCAATCAAAACACTTTGTTTAGTTCAGAAGTTCTCTCTTTTCTAAAAAATAAAAATGGGGAAAGCTCTGAAGGATTTCTGGAGAAAGAATGTGTAAGCCACTTTAAAAACACTTAGGAGCAGGTAAACTTCCTTTTAAAAATGATCTGAGGAGATGCTGTTGTTAGGGCCTCTTCATGATAGATTTGCATCACTTTGTCTCAAGAGGGTAAGACAAGCAGAGAAACAGGAATTATTTTTTAAAAAAACATACAGAAGTGTGAGGGCACATGATACTGCACTTGCTGAAGCTAAATAATCATGTGTCTGATCAGCAACTGTATTGGAGAATTTCTATTTGGTTATATGTACACTAAATGGCTATATGTATATGCTTTGGGTCCCATGAAAAAAGTGGAATACAGAATGGTTATAAAGTAGCTGCTGTGAGAAAATTAAGAGGCCTCCTAAAGTCATGGCAATTAGAAATATAGAAAGAAATTATCTGTATAATGTTCCTAATTAAGTCAGAACTGCATGTTCCGCTACCAAACAAGCACTCTCAGGTTTGACATATGTCACTGTCAAAAAACTATTGGCCTGTCAAAACACCATTTTAGATGGGATCCAGAGGTTTGAAACGTAGCTGTCAAGACTCCCATTCCTGTGCAAAGAGAGTGTGATGCACATTTGCTCCTTCTCAAGCAGGTAGAACCCTTGGGGGAAAGTGCAAAATGCTCACAAACCAGAGGACATCGGAGCAAAAAAGAAAAAGATGAGAACCTCTCTGGCGAAGTGGGTATATGTCAACATTACCCCTTTTTGTGAACAAAAGATCCCTTACAGCTTTGTTTTCCCTTGGCAGTTCACCTTTTGACAGCTGTAAGAGAAAGCAAAGAAAAGAAAAATCTTATTTGGAATCTTTTGGAGTCAATGTCCAAGGCTGCTACTTGCTGTACTCTGACAGCAGATAACCCTGCAAGACATTGCCCAGCTAAGGTTCCCCATTGGCACAACTGCAATGCAACTGCAAATGTGACAATGTGGATAAAAACAACAATAACAGAAGGAGCAAACATTGCAGGCATAAAATGGTTCTTTAAATACTTTGTTAACCACTGAGGATGTGTCGAATGTGCCACTTGGGCACTTTGACGAGGCTATCAGTGACTATCAAAATATGCACAAAAACACAAAAAAGGGCTTGTGATTGTGGCAGGACAGAGTGGGCAAGTCAATCTTGCCATGAAGTCCCCTGGGATATCCACAGGAAGACCAAGAGGTCAAACGACTGAAAAGGCACCTGTTTGTCTGTTGGGCATCTGTTGGTTTGCACAACCACCCACCAACCAAGGTCTGTGTGAATGCACTCAGTCTCAGGCAAAGAAGCTGTCCACACATCACAGAAGTGTATCATAGATTAACCCATTATATGCAGGGATGTATGCTGAGTGCAAGCATCTTCAGTAAGCAACTTCCAAACGGCACTACCAGAGGTTGGCAGGGTTATGTGCAATTTTGGACAGATGGGTTGTTTAGGAACAAATACACCACCAGTTTGCCAGGGCGATATGCAGACTGGGTCAATGGCAGCTTTCTTGAGACTCCACTTCCACAATAGCTACTGTACTATTATATTCCAACATGTTCCACTCTTGAACTCAGACTTGTACATCCAAACAAATATTTGGGGAATAGAAATGTGCCACATAGCAGAAATGTGTCACATAGCATAGTTTCTGTAATATTACCCCAAGCCTTGTATTCTCTATTTTCCCCTTCAGTAGTATGCCTTTGGCATAAGAGACTTTACGTAAAGGCTTTAGTAGTAGCATAAGAGTACATAATAAATGGACTGCTGAACTGCTCCTCAGGGAGCTTTAGAGATGGGGAAAATATGCAGACAGATTTGGAAAAATTCAGAGCTATTTGCAACATTAAAATCCATGCTTATCTCGATCAGAGGCAACAACAACAACAAAAAAATCCAAATGCAAAGTAATGAGATTTCTACACAATACTCTACATCTGTTAAGATGTTAGGCATATGGCTCTGGAGAAGTACAAAATATTTACATCTATGACAGTAAAAATATCTATGCATCCCTATAACCTGGCATCCATACAAAGTTGGCAAAAAATGGGGAAAACCCTCACCCAAATCCAGGAAAATTAAGGATGGATCAACTAAATTGTGCATGTAGCTTAAGCAGAGGCATGTAACCACTTATCCTGAATTCCTGATCATCTGCCTTATGCATTGCCATATATCAATGGCACATAGGCAATGCTGATTCATTCAAAACAACAGCAAACAGATGAAAGACCCACCAGAATCTCCTGGCAACAGCTGATACAGTTATATTGTTCTGTTACACAGGGTTTGGTCTGGTCTCTGCCTGCATGGAAGAATGCCTAGGAGCTCCAAAGACAGGTTAAGACATACATAAAATCAAATCATCTATTATCAGCTCAGAAAGACTGTGGGGATTAAAAAGATGGGACAGGAAATAGGCTAGCCTTGCCTTGTCAACTTAAATGTGTAGGATTCTCAGTCCTAAAGAAGTATGTAGAAGAAAGTCAGCAGTGAGATCAAGGTGATAGTATGCAAGAAAGCAGTACCAGGAGAGCAATTGCAGGGTTTCCACATACCTTACAAACGGTTAAGTCATGAAAACTTATTGAGCTGAGGGACATCTCTTTACTTAGCACAGTAAAGACACAAGACACATAAAAGAAGAAATTCTCTACCAACCCAAAATATCATACTGAGTTGGTAAGCCAGCTAAGAACTATCAAGTTACTGTTTTATTACTACATTTATACCCCACCTTTTTTCCTCTTGCAAGGAACCCAGGGAGGCTTACACGATCTCTCTTCTCTCAATTTTATCATCACAATTATCCTGTGAGTCAGGCTGCAAGTCAGTGACTGGCCCAAGGTTATTCAGTGAGCTTCATGATCAAGAGGGGGATAGAAGTCAGATCTTCTAAGCCCCAGTGCAACACTCTAACTGCTGCACCACAGTAGCTTTCCAGATATATCAGCCTTTACCCCAAGATACAATAGGATTGTATCTCTTCATCAGACCAGATCAACAGGAACCTCATTTCCATCCGTGGACTGGACATTTCCATTGAAAAAGGCGTGGTGTACTATCTCTTAGCAGCCAGCAATAAGCAATACAAAACTACTGCTTTCAATTCAATTCATCTCTTGTTTCTTCTAAGATCTAGATTATTTGGGCATTGACACCCACCTCTGACAGTAACTTGAGCACTGCAGGATGCCCTTCCAGCACTATTTTCTACCAGGCAAGTGTACACCCCATCATCTTCTGGTAAGGCATCTTGTACAGTCAGCTTTGCAATTCCTCCTTCAAAGAGAGAATGTGCGTACTGGATTGGCTGATCTATGGGAGAGAGAAAAGGGGCCAGGGGAAGGAACTACTTAATATCTCACTTGGCAAGTATACATTTTATCCATCACTTGCTTATAATTATTTCCAGTGAAATCCTATGCATTTACTCAGAAGTAACCCTACTGAGATAAATGATGCTTATTCCCAAATAAGTAGGCATAAGATTGTTTGCCCTCCTTATTACATGAAAAGGATTAAATGCTGATCAAGGACACATTCTCACAAAACTGAGATGCAAAAGGAAATTCTTATAAGAATTGATCCTTTCACTATATCCTTACTCTGATGAACTCTATACACACATACACATACCTTTGTTAAAGCACCCATACAGATGCCCCCAGTGAATTATGGTGAAATTATGCATGTGCTTCTGCAACATATCTACATATAGACAGATTTAACACACATGAACGTTTAATGTACACTCCTGGTTGATGTTGATTCCTTGCTCCTCCTCCTTGTCCAGCATTTTCTGCTCTTACATCCTGGAATCCTTTGTGGAGATGTACCAAGTAAAACAAAAAACAGCAGAGGATTTTTAAAAAGGCAAAAAACCTTGTAAAAGCAAAAACAAAACAAAAAGACAGCTGCACCAATGTTTATCATTCTTGACGTTCTATCCAGTGAATTAGAAGCCAGGAGTTCTAAGCATATTTGGAAGCTTTGAAAAAATGAATTGCCCCTGATAAAGAAAGGCTTCTCAAAATGCATTAAGAACTATAAACATTGATGCAGCTGTCTCCTTTGTTTAGGTTTACTAAGTACTCTGCCTTATAGGAACTTCTTGTCCAACTGAAGCATCAGATGACCATTCTTTCTCTCCATCAGCCTTTGACCTTAATATCAAACTAGTCCCGATTGTGCATATCTTGGCCTGAAGGCTGGCCTTCACTTTTATCATTTCAACATGCCACCATCATGAACAGAATGTAATGCGAAAATCAAATGCAATGACTCAGTGTGTCAGAATTCACAAGTCAGATCATAAAGGCCCCAGTCTACAGAGGCAGGCCAAAAAAGAACTTTTAAAAATAACCTTCTAAAAATGATAAATTAAACCATCTTAGGTTGCATCCAAAGATTCCATCTAGGAAGAAAGTGCCACTGAACTAAATGGAACTTACTTCTGGGTGATCATATATAGAACTGCACTGTTAATCTTGCATGCTTTCCCAGAGTGTGGTCCCTTGTCTGGAGCGCACACAGTTAGGTCCTGATGCCAAACAACTTCCAGTCATTCTTTGGGTCCTGACTTTATTTACAGATTTCAGCCCTGGAAAACTTGTTAGCCGTGCCTTATGTAGGGTGTTGTTAAGCTTATCTTCCTGAGCCAAAGTCTTGGTCCTGTACTACAAATTTTCACAATTACTTTTGGACAAAAGCTGAGGATACTAGGCAAGTGTTATTTGTGCACTCTGGGCCCAACTTTAAAAGCAAATCAACTTTATTCCAGTCTTGAGAACCACAGGATCCAACTCAGTCCCAAGATGGAGGCATTTTAATTTGTAAATTCCAAATAGTAAGCAAGAGCCATCCAAGTAGTCAGCGCTGCCTTGCTCAGAATACCATCCTGTAATGCACACTATTTTGCCATGAGCACTATTAAGTCTGCCTGGAATTAAAGGTTGTGGATCAGGAATGTAACTTTCTCCTTTATTTGGTTATGGACAGATAACTTTTCCTGCAATGTATCCTTCCCTGACAGACTGGAACAGATTGCTTGTATTCATGTGGATATCACACTCAGGCAGCTTGATCCTAAAGAAAAGTCATGACCTAAAAGGTACCTATTGAAAAGCAGCAAGAAATTCCAACGTTCAGTTACAGTTTATAATTTAAGCCAGGATTGTTTCCAGATGATGTATGAACAGCTATGGAAAATTATCAAAAGTAAGAGAGATGAGTTATTTGTAGGCTTTTGCACTTCGGGATGTGAGCAATATGTTTATACCTTTTAGATAACATGCAATGCCCCTGTTTTCATTTCACATGTTCATGTTTCTTATACTTCTATTACTCAAAATTATTACTGCCTGCTGGTTTACAACTGTAGATAAGGATTTAATTTTTAATTCCAGAGAGTTAAACACTTTAAGAGCTTTAAAAATACTGGGTTATTGTGAATATAATGGTATGCCACTATATACTACCTGAGCTGGTCTAGTCGCACATGAGACCAGCTAACCCAGGAATGTTTCATCTTTGGGAAGTTTGCTGTGATCTGCAAACCAGGAATGCTGGCTTGTCTCTCCCCTGACAAACAGACTTGGAACCCATGGTTATAACCCATTTTAAACATGCTGAGTTTTTGTGATCTCTGAACTAGACCAGTAAGTTCACTCCTATCCCCATGGTGTCTCAGTCAGCTGAAACAGAACCATGGCCTAAGTATGGTTTGTGAACAGTTAGTCACAGTTTGTATAAACTGTTTTATAAACCAGCCTCAAACCATGTTTGATATCCTAGTTTAGCCGCATAGGTTTTTAAGGAGTGTGTTTGAGATTATGTCTGAATGGAGCTTCTGTGGAGGTATGCTGGGCAGATCTGGGTAGCTGATGACAATTCTCCTCAAGAGCATAAGCACTTAAGAGTTAGCAGTGGTATTTCATTTTGGGAAGGCTCTTCATCACTGCATGCAATGAAGTGGTCTGGAATTCTCTGGCCATGATTATATTCCACATCCATTATATTTGAAATATAATCCTACAAGGTGAACACAGTTGCATTTATAAATTTGATTTACATAATTATTTAATTTTCTGGATTTGTTGTGACATGAACTACAATAGGAAGAATTAAGACTGAATAAAATAGTAAATAAAACACCTCTGTACCAGAGGCATGGAGGAAGTTAGAGGCATGGGGATGAATTCAGACTCTGGCACATTTAGAACAGACCCAATGAAATCAGTGGGAGTTTATCATTACTCATTAAAGCTGCACTGATTTCAGCAGAGCTACTCCTACATATTATTAAGTCTTGACCCAGCACCATGTGAAGATGCGGGCAGGAAAGGAAAACCTCCCTCTTGATTGTGACTTCACTCAACACAGGTGCCATCTGTTTTCCCTTCTGCAGACACCCATGCTAAGCGCATGGCCATTGAGGGACAAGACTAGCAATGCAATCCCACTTCCTGTTCTACTAGTAGATCCCCTCCAGGCTTGAAAAGGCCTTCTATCTAGTTTCCATAGCACCCCAGTCCTAGAAATATTTAAATTTACAGTTTTCTACAGCCATAGGAATTTATAGGAGCGAGAAAAATAAGGTACCATTCACCATTGTTGATACATTGTTGATTATTTTACTATTTAAATTTAAAACTAATTTTCTAAAATTTGCATGCTCTTGCAATGAAATCCATTCCTGAAAACTCACAGCAGGAAAAGCAGCCTTGCCACAGACGGCCCCTGCTGGACAGGCACCAAAATGGCAACGAAAGGAAGTGCTTCCTTTTACCCTTCAGAATTCCTTGTCAGATCATACAGGTCTCACTCTTCATGCTGGGATCCAGTGTCTCTGTGTGCATGTACATGCACACATGCACACGCTCACATGTGGAAAAGAGCAGCAGCCAGGTGGAGAGGCTATGGGGAGAATATTCTGCTCTTCTAAGCGCCTCATACATTCAGATGTATTTTACACTGATAGGAATGTAGCCTTGCATTGGTCCATTTAGCTCCATACAGTGAGTTGCATCAGTTCTACTTGGTGTCAGACCCTGGACAGGCATTGTCAGCAGAGTCTGATTTGCTGCAAGGCAGCTTCCTATGCTCAGGTCAACCTAAGGGGTAACAAAAGCCCCTTTCCTGGCTGCCTGTCCCAGATCATACACAGAGCTGGCAGCCTGCCTCTAACACATCTTTGATAATGTTGTGATTGTAGCCTAAGTTGACAAAGCACTGGAACACTTGAAATGCAGGGAAGCGCCTGCTTTCAGACAGGGGAGTTGCCTTACCATTGAGAAGCCAAGTGATCTGAGGCACAGGTGTTCCCTCAATGGAGCACTGAAGCACAAAATCCTGCCCTTCACTCACACTGCAGGATTTCAGTACACTGGAAAAATGCGGAGCAACGTCCTTCACTTTAGGCCCTACAAATCAAAGCAAAGTATATTATGAAAAGCCAAGAAAACACATTACTGAAAACATGCATTGAATCAGGGAAAAATCAATCACTTTACTAATGTCATTAGTTTTAGTAACAAAATGTCAGACCAAGGTACCACTACTTAAAAACTGCATCAACCATGGCAAGCTATTACATATGAATACATCTGGTCGATACATTCTTCCCATAGTCATTTCTCTGTAAAGGGCAACAGTTAAAGGGTAAGAGAAAAGGTTTATTTCCCTCCCCAGCCGCTGTGACCCCTGAAATTGTTCCAGTCTGCTACATCATGCAGCCAAGTTCTCCTAACCTACAGATCACGCCCTGCTTATGAAAAATCTGTCTTTGTGGTACAGGCTTTGCGACCCTATAAGCAGTGTATAAAATTTTATTTTGCTAGAGTGATTTCTCCTGGCAGACTTTAAAGAAGAACCGTCTCCCAGCTCCCCCAAAATCAACACTTGTGACTCTATTATTGTGATGTGAACACCATGTCTACACAGCTTTATCACTATAAAGATGGGTTCTGTTCCTGAAATACGCAGAAGCCAAACTGTTGGGTGCTCCAGTGAAAGCATTTTCTTTATGAAAGCCAGGACTTGCTGGTGTGATTGACACTTTGTCCTTTTTTCTCCCTGATCAGGAAACAATCCCTCATGTCTGTATCAGGCGCACAAGCTATCATCTGGGAAAATTATGCAGCTAAAACAGACTTACTTTTTACAGTTAGTATCCATCTGGTTGAAGCCTGACCTTGAGTGTTGGAGGCTGTGCAACAGTAAGACCCACTGTTTTCCAAATTGGTTTTTTTCAGGACAAAACAATGGACACCATTTTCTTCATATATCTGAACTCCATCTCCTGCCTCCACTGGGGATCCTTCTTTGAACCATTCAACAGTTGCCTTAGGTTTCCCTGAAACTAGTCCACCAACATTAGAAAATTAATAAAGGAAATATTTTCATGTTCAGAATGTCAGAGTGTCCCAATAAGACCTTTTTGTCCTAGCAACACTCTCCAGCTTTGCTTCTTTAAATAGAAGGCAGCAATCTTCTATGTTACTGAGAAGACTCATGTGTGACCCATTATTAAGCAAATGAAAACAGGCATCAGGTCAGTTTACAAACGGGGTTTCATAAGGTGGATTGCCATATTCTCGATAGAAACAAGATGACATGACACATTGTTTACAAAAAGACTAACCTGGAAGTGCTTGAGGTATCAAGAAAGCATTAGGCTGGAGATTACCCTTTGGTACACGGAACTGATCTTTAATAACAGGCTTAAAACATAGCTTTTATTCATATTTTAAAAGGAATAAAGTTCAGTGGTTGGGGTGTTTTGCAAAAACATAATCTATGTGTAATTCTTCATTCACAGGAATATATTAAAGAATAATTTGTATCTTATTCCTTATTTTTATATGATTAATTACTCTTTTGCTAGAACAAACCCTCATTATACCTATATAAAATCCACTGCATTTCACTCAGTTCTAATTGTTTTCCACTATAAACAGTGAGATTAATTCCCAGGTAAATGTGTAGCAGAGTTCTCTATCCTAAAAGAGTTGATGACTATAAACATTAAACTGACAGTCCAAAGAAACTGATACTTCACAATTAGTCCTTTATCCACATGACTTTGCACTCTTTAGCTTGGTCAATATATACAGCAGATCAGATGGGAAAGGAGACATCTTAATACTCCTCTATAGTAACAGAGGAGGAGACATCTTAATGCTTCTCTTTTCACAGTCAGAAAAGTAGTTCTACCTCGACCCACTCTTCCTATGCTAGTTTTCTATTTGTGGGAAGTTGGTACAGTTCATTTTACTATTAAAATATTTTACCAGCGCTGCAAGTGTTCATGAGGCCTAAGTAAAGTTTCTTTCAGATTTCACTGCAGATTTGGAAATGGCCTATATTATCAAAAATCTACTTTTCACCTCTTTTTTACATTTTTGTTTATTTTATATTCAGCTTTTTTAGATGTAATGGCCATTGTTTATTAGAATTGTTTAATTATGTTTAATATTATATTCATTGTATTGTTTATGTTTGTTTAATTAATACAATTACTTTTCAAAAAAAAAAAAAAAGGAAATGACCAGAAAGGTCATCTAGTCTAATTCCCTGTGAACGCAGGAAATTATTACTGCAGTACCCCTGAAAGGTGACCATCCGGTCTCTGATTAAACAGCTCTGACCAAAGTAAAGATCTTTTTACCTTTACATCTGAATGTAACCTCTTCTCCTTCCAGTGCTTCTTGACTTTGTGGGCGACACTCAAATTGGGGAGGGATCCCTTGGGTCTCCCTCTTTACTTCTGTTATGCTTTTCTTTAAGCCAGTGCAGGCTTCCATTTCCTTTGCCCTCAGACCACCTAACTTGGCAGAGGGGCCAGGCTGCCAACCTGCAGTGGCTGGCTGCTTTGGCTTTTCCCCATTGCTTTCCACTCCAGAAGAAGTTGCTTTCAGTTCTGCCTTCGGCCCAGGTTGTACTTTAACAGACTGAAGTGTTATTGTGCTTGATGTTTTCTGCAGGACCCTACAACCTTTCCCTTCTTCATTAGGTGGCTCTACATTGGGTTCCTTTGACTGTTCTGTTGCATTCAGTTTGGTTTCTTTGGCTGAAGGAAGAGGGGCCTCTTTCTTCATGGCTGGCCTTTCTTTGGGTTCAAGCAAAAGTTCAGTTGTTGTGGATTTGAGTTCCTTAGCAATCCCATTGCTGGTGGCCCTTCTGAACTCTGAGGTTTCAATTGCTTTGGTTGTGATGGTTGTGCTGGATTTTGTTGATGTGCTAAAGGAGAAATACTTTTCTTAGGCTAATACTGGGTGACCCATTTGGAAAAACACATTCGTACATCTTTCTTCAAAGCTCTCCATAATATCAACAAGCCAATTTTAAGCAGGATGTATTGCGTTCTGTGTGTAGAACGGAGACCCAGCTCTCGCACATTACAGTCTGCTCAGATAGAGTTGTCAGATTCAGAGGAGGTGGTAGAAGGGCAAAGGGAGGTACAGGACTTGGCAGATTCAAGATAACCTAGTGACAATTTTTAGGCAGGATGTGAGAAACAGCACACCTTGGAAAAGGAGGGAGGCATTTCAGAGCTGGAGAGGGAGCAGATGCAGGGGGAGTTCCTTGGTTCACACAGGTGAGGGCAGGTGAAGCAAGAAAACCAGCTAAGAAGTGACTGGCGTTCCCAGATACTTCTTGACAGCCCTCAAGCAGCAAGGGCCATCCTGAGTGGGGAGCCAGGAGCTTACTGAAAGGAAGGGAAGGAGGGGAAGTCTCAGTTTGGATTCAGCTCTTTACATGGTCAGAGGCTTCTCCCACATCTCCAGGAGAACCCAACTCTGATTTATACTGTTCTGTAACCTGTTGAGTTTTAATAAAATAATTGGGTTTCTCAACTTTCATTGGGAGTCTGCTGGAGAGAGAAAGAAGGAGGGGTTGATCTGCCCAGGATGGCACACACCCACGAAGGATTTTGCACCAGTTTTCTGAGCTTTGGCATAAAGTGTGCAGATCTTCTCTATGACGGCTATTTCTGTATAAGGAGGAACAATGGAGGAAGCATTCAAATCTGCACTTATAACATGAATGGTAACATGCCTAACAACACATCCATTGTAAAGAATGAGGAAACCCCATAGTTTAGCGCAGAACTGTTGGACTTCTTTCAGCCCAAAGACCAAATTTAATTTCAAAGGTGGTCTTGGGTGCTATATTCCAGTAGCAGGAGTGGCTGAAGATAGCAGGTCTGAAAGTAACAAATACACCAGTATGGGACAGCTGAAGGGAACAAGCCTATGCATGTTTTGCCAGAAAACAGTAAAAAAAACTCTGGCAAATCACATCCCTAGCATCCAGCTGTCAGGGTCTTTCAGCTCAGACCTGCCTCTTGCAGGGCTTCAGATATGAAGGGAAGGAAATAGCAGCACCCAAAATTTCCACCACCATCCTACACTCTGCTTCCAGTAGAGGCAGAGTCACATCAACCAAACTGTTTTTAAAAGAGGTACTGCAAGCTGCACACAGCTCTGGCAGCTGTCAGTTGCCACCACTTTGCCTTGACCTGGGGGCGGGGGACCTCTTTCAGCTTGAAGGCAGAATTGAGTTTTGCAGAAGTTCTGAGGGAACACTTTCCAACCATGGGCAAGGTCAAAGGTGAAAGAGGCAGGGTCCAAGATACAAAAACCATGTGCATAGTTTAGCTTAGAGATCTACCTGCCAGAAATTAACCCTTAGGAGAGGCATTTCAACCTTTTAGAATGGGGGAAAATGCACAATAGTCTGGAAACCGTTAGGTGATCAGTGGTTACTGGAAAGAGGATGGAACAGCAAATGGCTGGATGGGGATCCCAGGCACTGGCCCCCAGCTCAGGTTCTTTCCACCTGAACTTGGCAACAAGGACATCATCCAAGCCTTCTTGGCCACCATCACACCTTCCAGTGCTCAACACTGTACCGTCACCTATGAGTAGTCAGTCTCCCAACTGCCCTGCCTTCTCATTATTGCAGGAAGGAAAGGGCTGTGGTCTGCAGAGCTCATGGAGGCCAGGTCAAAGCACACTTCCCCCAAGCTGACCCACCCACTGAAATTCCAAATGTAAGACCAATGATACCCACCCAAAAAATCAGACAGCCAGCCACTTATATAATTAGTAAGCCATTTTGAGTGAGATGGACACCCTGAGAGTAAGGGCATGCTAACAAATAGTCTAACACTGAAGAGTATTATTGAAAAGAGAAAACTAAAAGGGAGGTAAGTTAAAAAACATACCATGGAGGTGGAACATATGCCTCTCTCTTGACAAAACCTGAAATAATGAAAACATAAATATATTATTTAAAAAGCAATGGAATTTTAAACAGCACATTCAAATTGAGTTTTGTTTGTTTTAAGTAAGAATTCATTTTGATCCTAACTTCATGATCCAGAGTCAACAAAATACATTAATTTCCAGCCACAGAAGCATTTGGCTGCTCAGTGCAAGTAGCAAGATGCCCATGACTGACTTATTTCTGGAGCTAGAAGCAAAAAGGACCCTGAAGAATAAAATGCCACATTAGAAAATAAAATGTCATATTAGAAAATATTCATTTCCTGATTAAATTTAAGGTGTTGGTATTGATCTTTAAAGCCTTAAATAGTGTGGGACAGGCACATTTAAATTGCATAAAATATCACAAATGGAGATACCAATTAGCACAGCAAGAGACCACCGATTAAAGTTCAGCAATATTGCACACCCAACCTAGCACACTTTACATTTGCACAGTCTATGCAAGTGACACATAACCAATGAAAAAAGAAAGGGCATTTCAGGTGTTCTGGTACAGGTTTATGTTCTATACCTGTGCTTTGACGCTGTACACTATACTTCACTAGGCTGCTGATTTCTGTCCTAAAACTGTATCTTTTGTGGCCAAAGATTGCTTCCTTACTTCTGAAAAGCACACACTCAGTGCTACACATGAGATCATAAGTTGAGGCCTTTTATGGTCACAAGATGAATATTCTGGTATTTTCATCCCTATCTTAGACATCCTCCAGCCTCTGTCTTTGGAACTTGATTTGCTTGGTGCCACATTGTGTTAATTAATCTTCACTTGGTTTATTGACTTAAAAAGGAAAAGCAGCATGGCCTCTGATCTGTAAAGCTAAGGAGGGTCTCATCTATTCTACTCAGGGCTCCCTGAATGGTTTTTGATTGCTCTGGCACTCTAAGCAGCACTAGGTGGCTGGATGTAGCCACTTTCCTCTATACTCCAGACCTAGCCTCATTACGGGGAAGGCCTGGACCTCCCATTAGGCATGATGAAGTCCCTGCTTCAAGCAGCAGACCTTGAAGCATGCAGAATAGTGGAGAAGTTGCAGAACAGAGCTGGGCATGCTGCTCAGCCTGTTCTGTGTCCCAAACTGAGATTCAACTGCCAGTCAAGCCAGTTGACTTGTGTACATGGAATGCCAGCTTGGCTGTTGCCTTGGCTGTTGGGCTGTCCCTGCTCTGGGCCACTGTGGGAAATTAAAAGTGTAAACCAAGTCTCTCAAGAGCTTACTGTTCTGTAAGAAATCAGTTGAGCAAAAATGTAGGAAAAAATGACGCCATCCAAACACAGCACTATGGGATTGCAGTGTTGACAGAAATCCATTCTTACCCCTGTTGTCCAGGATTCAACCCTCACATTAAAAAATAAAACACAAACCAGGACCAGAGCAAACCATAGTTGTAAATTACTCTACAGAGCCCACTGTGGATCAGGAAAAGTGATTATCTAGACACTTTTCAATTGGATTTTTGAGCTGGGTTTGGGACAGAGACTGCCCCTGTCACTCTGTGGGATGACCTGTGCAGGGAGAGGGACAGGGGGAGTGTGTCCCTGTTGGTTCTCCTGGACCTCTCAGTGGCTTTCAATAAATACCATCAACTATGATATCTTTCTGAAACAGCTAGGAGGCTGGAAGTAGGAGGCACTGCCTTGCAGTGGTTCTGCCCCTACTTGGCTGACCGGTTGCAGATGATGGTGCTGGGGGACTGTCACTCTTCACCATGGTGACTGCATCATGGAGATCTGCAGGGCTCAATTCTGTCCCCCATGCTTTTTAATATCTGCTGGGTGAGCTCATCTGGAGGTGTAAGCTGGAGTGTCATCAATACACTCATGATACCCAGCTCTACCTCACTTTTTCATCTGATCCAGGTGGGCAATAGTTGTCCTGGACTGGTGTCTGAACTCAGTAATGGACTGGATGAGAGCCAATCAACTGAAGCTGAATCCAGACAAGACAGAGGTCCTCTTGGTGGGCACTCCTGCACTCCAATCAGGAAATTTTCAACCTACCCAGGGTGGGATTGCACTCTCCCTAAAGGATAAGGTACGTAGCGTAGGGGTGCTAATGGACACCAAGCTCTCCCTGATTTCTCAGGTTGACCTGGTGGCCAGGAGTGCCTTCTGTCAGCTTCAGTTAATTTCTCAGCTATGTTCCTGCTTGGGTGAGCAAAGCCCTGCCACATTGACCCATGTGCTGGTAACTAATATAAAGCATTCTACATGGAGCTACCTTTGAAAACAGTCCAGACACTACAGCTAATACAGAACAGGGCAGTGCGGCTGCTTACGAGGACTGGTTGGTGAGACATATTACACCGGACCTCCATCAGCTGCACTGGCTCCCTGTTCCAGTCCAGGTCCAATTCAAAGTGTTGACTTTGGCATATAAAGCCCTTAACGGCTTGTGCCTCTCTCCATATATTCCTACCTCTCCACTTGGATCTTCTGTGGAACTCCTCCAAATTACAAGCCCCTCCCCACCCCAGTGAGGTCAAGGGAAAAGGGCTAGGAGGAGGGCATTCTCAGCACTAGAATTCACTGGCTCTGAAATTCACTCCCCAGGGATATATGCATGGAGTCAACTCTTCTTTCTCTCAGGCACCAGGTGAGAACTTAAACAAGTTTTTGGTTTATTTAATTTAACCTTATACTTTTATATTTTGTTATGGATTATTTTAATTTAATTTTTGGTTAATGTATGGGCTATATTGTGTGTGGCTATATTTTATTATGTGATGCCTATCTATTCTTTTATTGTTTTATCTATATTATCTGCTTATTGTTTTTATTGTCTCTTATGTATTCATTGCTGTTTTAGCACTGGTAAGCCGCCCTGAGAACCTATGAGTTATGGGGTGGCATAGAAATAGAATGGAATTACATACATACATACATACATACATACATACATACATACTAGGATGAGGGCAGCCTTCAACATATGAAGAAACAACCTGTGCTAGACTGCTACTGAAAGTGTATCTTGTTTCTTTTACACTTTGTCACCCTGTATTAATAAAGTTATTGTGTAATAGAAAAAATGCCCCAGATCCAAACAGAATGAACAAAGCATTATGTAAGGGAAAAAGACCTGTTCTGTCCACACTGTCTTTAAGTGTGTTCTGCCCCAGCAAACAATGTTTGAGTTTTTAAAGCTATTTGAAGGGTTGCACAGAGAGCTGCACCTTAGTTGAAAGAGGATCAGAGAAGACTGTGAAGAAAGCTTGGAAAATATTTGGCTGTTTCTACAGATAAAGCAGCATTGCATGACCCTGAGAAGCCATTTGTTCCTCTTCCTTGTGGAAAAATAAATGTGGGGGGGTTGGAAAGAGCTTATCTATACAAGAGGTCCTCATGGTTTTGCTTAAAATAAAAAAAAAATCCTGATTGTGTAACAGTTTATTATCTGATTTTGTGGGGTAATGAAAAGAACTACAAACAAAGGCTTGGAGCTGTAAAATGAGTTAATAAAGACAAGCAAATATATTGCACTTCTTTGTACTCGAAGTCTTGGGCCCATAAATTTGCATGAAATAAACAGCCCCTAAAAGTGGAAACCCAACCAACATTTAAAATTGTAAAAGAAATATAGCCAACGAGCATTCTCAGATCCAATGTCCTGCAAAGTCAGAAGTCAAAGCTGTTGGCAAAATCACAACATGCAAAACACCATCTATCTGCTGCATTTTTCCACAGCCACAGCCATCAATATAAGTACAGAATGGTACTTTACATATAGGATTATAATACTGTAATAGTCACGGGTGCTGGATAGAGCATCAAATTGCTTTGAGCAAGCCACTGTCTTTCAACCTAAACGGTCTCATGTGGCTGCTGTGAATATAAAATGGGGAAACAATGGAGAGTATCTAGTGCTTCCCACTCCACTTACACAATTGGCATTGCACTAGTGTAAGCAACCAAGAGCATTTGCTGGCCTAATGGGTTTTCCATGGATTCTCATTGCATGAAATGATGTTATTTATGCCGTCCTAGAGGACCTTTATGCCAATGGAACATCTATGATGTAGGCTGAACAACAGTTCTGGATACCACCCTGGGAATGATTCCCTGAGTTCCTGAGAAAATTGTATTGTTGTTCTTATTACTAATATTAGGTTGAGGATGAGCATAATTTTCACTTGTTGAAATGAAATGCATTCAGATTTCTAACATGACTAAAAGGAAGAGAAAAGAGCCTGGATCTCCCAGTGCCCTGTCTTCACTAGATTGAAATGTAAGATTTAAAAAAATCTGGACACTGAACTGCATGCTTGGACCACCATTTAAATGTCATTCTGAAGAAAGCAAAACAGGGTGGGAAGATGGGGAGGGAAGAAGAGAGGAGGAATTGGCTCAGCCCTTGGAAAACCTTTAGCTGGCATGCTTGCATTCTTTCCCTTTTAGTCTTTTTTAACCATACCTTGAACCATGAGCTCTGCAGACACAGAAGCCTTCCCAGCACTATTCATCACAGTGCAAGTGTAAGTTCCAGCATCAGCCAGCTGAGCATTTCGGATTTCTAAAAACTGGATGCCTGCTTTCTCAAACATGTTGAAACGATCATCTTTCTGCACCTGAATTTCACCCTGCATGCATATGAAAAGAATACCAGAGGTTTACAGATGCATTCAGCAGGAGGGTGGTGTAAATACCTATCAGTTTCTGGCAAAGCGACACTTCATCTTTTCCTTTTTTTCCTCTGCTTTTACAATTCAGCCTGGTGCTCTTTGTATTATGTTTGTATACCAATAAATATACCCAAAAGATCAGACCTCAAAGTTTCCAAGTTATCCAATTTATAATAAAGAGAAGACACTTTCAGAAGATTAATATTTCAACTCAAAGTACATATTTTACTAGATTAGAGAGTCTGGATCACAAAATGTGGAAGATAAATGAATAAACTTGTCTGTGACTAAATGTACTACAAATTACAAAGACAGCAATGGGTAAGACTTCTGTTTCATTTGCGTTAGAGCAAAGTTGAACAGCTTCTCAGGCAAACATACCTTGAACCAAACAGCTTGAGGCTGAGGTCGCCCTGTAACCTTACAGGAGAATCTACCCATCTGTCCCTCCCGCACAATGACTCGGTTGGGTTTTGTTGCAAACTTGGGTGGACATTCACCCCAGAAGCTTGGTCGTTGTTCTACAGGTGGAACAGTAAGTCTAGCACTGGAAAAGAAATAATATCAGATCTTAATCACCCATCTATTTTTAAAGCACAGCATTACTTCTTGAATTATACTATTTGGCGGCTTTCAAAGAGTGTTCAAATTATTAATACACAGAAGGCAGTAGAAGGTATGGTGCCCCTTTGTGAACCGATTTTCACTTCTATTTTGCATTCCTATCCAGATATATAATGCACAAGGAATCACTCCCCAGTCCTTTCCAGAGTACCTGAGAGGAGCACTTCTTAGATGTTGCATACCCAGCCCAATATGTGTATACTTTGCATCCCATTACCTGTACCCATGCACACAAAGCAAAATTTAGCTCTATGTAGTCAAATTTAATTGAAGCAATGCTAATGGAATGCCATATGTCCCAACCAGACCACTTAGATCTTCATCAAAGGCCCTTCCCTGAATCCCTTCCCCCAGTGAAGTGGGGAGATGGCTAGGATAAGGGCATTTTCAAAAATAGTGTCCCACTTGTGGAATTCACTGCCATTAGAGATCTGCCAGGCATCTTCTTCCTTTTTTAAAATACCAATTGAAAACATTCCTTTTCTGTAACCACTTTGGTGAGTGAGTTGACTTGGTTTTAATGGTTCGTTAGTAGTCTTAAATGGTTTTATTGCAGCTACTGCTATATTATAAATTTTAGTTGCCAGACAATTTTAGTTTATTCATAATTTTATTCTATTTTAGTTAAAAGGGCACTTTAAATTGTTTTATTAATTGAATGTTTAACTTGTATGTCCCCTCTTTATTGCTTTGCTTTATATATTTTATTGTACATTGTTCAAATATATTGTTAATTGAATTATTTTCTCCATTATCATATAATGTATTGTGAGCCACCCAGACAGCCTTATTGTTAAGGGGCATGGCATACAAGTCCAATAAATAAATACATGGTTGGATCATGAGAATGCAAAAACTGAAATTTGCATAATAAAGATTATTGGTATACACTTCTCCAAAAGTTATGCACCATTTTTCTACATGCCTTCATCCAATATATGCACAACACACAAAAGCATATTTGGTGCCTCATATATGCAAGACTGGACAGCTTAAGTGCAACAAACTATAGAAAGTTCTTCTGGTCTTCATTACCTGAATTATTCCACAGTGCAGCAGAATTACCATCATCCAGATCTTGATTTAAAGGCCTGATCCTTTCCCCTGTGACCTTCTGACAGAAATATGTAAGAAATTTCTCACAGAAATGTAAAAAGCAGTATGGTGTGGTGGTTAGAGTGCTGGTCCGGAGCTTGGTGAATCCGCTCAGCCATGAAGCACCCTGGATGACTCTAGCTTTAGGTCAGTCACTGACGCTCAGCCTGACCTACCTTACAGGGTTGTTATTGTAGGGATAAAAATGGAATGCAGAACTGTGTAAGCCACTCAGGGTTCCTCGTAAGAGGAAAAAAGGGAGGATATATATGCAATACAGTAATAGTAGTAATAATAAATGTATAATGTTGGATATGCATTAGAGATGCCAAAGCTCCCCTTGAATTAACTTGCAAATTACTCAAGTTCTTACAGAAAACATGTGGGTCTTTTCTAAGCCAATCCCATGGAAAAATAGGCTCCATTTTCAGATCTTTTTACACATGACCACAGAAACTGATGGAGCCATGGGAACGAATAGGGAAAAGACCCTGCTGGGACCAAAGGGTTGGGGCAAGACCAGTTTGGCTCCCACAGGATTCCTCTCCTTTTGGATACCCACAGCCACTTTCCTATGGGAAGTAAAAGACTCTGTGCAAATAGCACTGTAATTTATTTGGACTTCTGATAACTGGAACAATTTAGATGTCTCTAGGCCATTCATCTAAAAGTCATGTGCTTAGATAAAGAGGCCCAAATATGCCGTAATTTTGCAGAAAGTCCATGATGTCTTCTGAAATTTGAGACAGCTATATAACTAATTATTCTACCATTCCAGCTGATTACAAAATTCAAAGGGTTACAGAAGCTGTTTCAGGTTTTTGTTCCAAATGTCTATAAAAAAGAAGGATGCTTATTCACTCTTATTCTGGTGAACATTTACATTGGTAAACTCAATAAATATTCCTACAAAGCAAAATTGTCATCCAGAATATAATTCACCTAAAATAGAGGTGGCCACTCCAAGAATTATGCTGGTAACGGTTTGCTGCAGCATAGCTAATGTTCCCATTTTCTGCATAAATGTAACACAGATTCCCCCAAGAGAATGAGGTAACAAGTTATAGTTGGGGGAGACATGGAATTTCTTCTGTGTCAATGGATCTGTGGAACTATGGATCTGTAACTCATTGGTTCAGTTAATTTCTTGCACATTAGAAAATGTGAAAAGTCTCCTGTTTCATGCAGTGTTCCAGTCAACTGGAGTGACCAACAGACCTAAAAGTCATTACTCCAAAATCTTATACATCAAGAGAAATTGCTTTGATTAAAAAAAAAAAAATCACAAGGTGAGCCCAAGGATAAAGTGATCTGAGGTCAGCCAGCTAATACATGTTTTATATCACCATGCTTTGAACTTTTTGCCAAGATTTAAGGATGGTGTTCCACAGTATTTGACAATATTTTAAAACCAGCCATTCTAAAACAAAAGCTGATAATGGGCTTCCAGCTATAAGCTGTAGTATCAAACATGCAGGGTTAAATTAAAGGCATTAAACATGTTTGGGGGATTGGACCCGCTCTGCTCAACTTGACAAGCACGTGCAGCAAACTACTGTGACAAATCGTCAAACCCAAGTCAACAGAGTTGGCTTCTTTCAATCATAAACAGCCTTGAAACAGGAGACAGTATATTAGCACAACCCAAACCCATGCAACTTAACTTGCACAATGCCTACATCAATGGCAAACATCATAGTCACACACTAGCAGGAGACAATAAACAGTGATGAAGTTCAAGCTATGGGTTTCAGGCAAACCAAACACATTTTTGGACAATGTACATTTCACAGAAAAGCTTACCCATAAGCAAACAAGTTGTACCCATCTCTTTCTGCCTCTGTATCGGAACACTAAGAAAAACCACATACAACCTCAGCCCAAGGAGAAGTCAGTGGGATGGGAAGACTATAATATGGGGAAGATCTGACAATTCTAAATAAAATAAGGACATGAAGGCAGCTAGAAATATCAAACACCCTCAAAATCAAAAAAGCTGGAAAACAGTACCTTTTGGACTCATTTGATTTGCCTCCATTTTTAACAGTGAAAGGGCAGCTGTCTTGTGCTGTATTTAGTATGCCAGTGAAAGAAGGATGAGTTTATGGAAACTCTTCTTTGCACTTAAAGTTTTTAAAAATAAAACAGGGTTTTTAAAAATAAATCGCAAGAGAAGCCCTCCTAAACTGGACCAGGACAGGACCCTGGCATTAAGGAGTGGGGTGTGAATATCACCTCTAGATGAAATTGCCCCAAGAAAAGACAAATGGAAACTTCCTTCCAGGGCTAGTTTTTAGAAAGACAGAAAGCCAAGATACATGAAATGCCTTTGTACAGTTCTTGTCTAGTTTGACTTTCAGGCTGACCAGTTGAAAAAGGAAAAATGAAGGACAACAGATAGCTTGGAAGTCTTAAGAGACTAATTAATTTACTAAAATTGTCCATAATACTGTATTTCAAGGAATGCACTGAGCTTAGCAAAATGAGTATTACTAATAGCAAGGGGGATGGGTTACCCTTTTTAGAAAGATTAAAAGTTGTGCTTGCTAGGAAAGCTATTAATATATTTCTACTCTAAGAGTAATGAATGCCACTAGAATTCTTACCCAGAACTTTTGACACTGGAAGGCAGACTGTACTTCTTCAAAACAGTTCCTATAACCAGAAAACAGAAAGACACTCAGTTATGAAAAATACTCTGCAGTACCTTTGGGGCCCTGAGGTTCCCCTGGCCCACATTCTGTTGTGTCATTTACAAGTAAGTAGTCCTACAGACTAGCCTTTAAAGGACATTGTCAAAAGTCGCCTCAAGATAAAAGTAAAGGTTTCCCCTTGACGTGAAGTGCAGTCATACCTGATTCTAGGGGGCGGTGCTCATCTCCGTTTCCTGGCCGAGGGAGCCAGCATTTGTCTGCAGACAGTCTCCGTGGTCATGTGGCCGGCATGACTAAACACCGAAGTGCACGGAACGCTGTTACCTGCCCACCGAAGTGGCACCTTTTCATCTACTTGCATTTGCATGCTTTCGAACTGCAAGGTTGGCAGGAGCTGGGACGGAGCAACGGGAACTCACTCTATTATGCAGATTCAAACCAGAGACCTTCTGATCAATCAGCCCAGCAGCACAGCAGTTTAAACCACTGTGCCACCTGCAGTCCCTAAAGTTGCCTAGTCAGGCCTAAAAACTGACTTTTAGTTTTCTTTCTATAAAGCAAAAAATGTCCAGTACCAAAAAGGCTCCCCTAATTTCCACAATTGTTTTACGGGGTACTTTTGTGACTCTAAACAAAAGCACAAAAGAAGGTTAAGTGAATATTAGTCTATTTTGAAAGCCAAGTCTCTGAGCTAAAACTCTGACTAAAACTAATTAAAAGCCATTGAGGGAAAGCTTTTGATGCTGGTTTAAAGTTTGTAGGCCAAGAGAAAAGGTCAATCTGCATTATAATGCAAATTTTCAATGATGTACAGTCTCAAGAAAATTTAAATCTTAAATGACTTGTACTTGTTGAAAGCTGAAAGCCATTCTTACACTGACTGAAACCTCCTGGGGAAAGCATTCAGCCAGAACAAAGGCTTTTCTTATGCAGCTTTTGCGTTGCCTGATATACTTTTGTCTGGGATAAAAAAATGATTCCAAAGGCAACTAATGCCAAGTTTATATTGATGCAAGATGAAAGTTAAGGCCTACTTTGAGTGTAGAGATCATCAAGCACCTGCCAAAGGACTAGCAGCAGCCAGCTGACAAAAAGCCCCATAGAGCTGTTCCTCCTCTTCACCTTTGCAACCTGCTTGTTCACCTGCTTCTCAGTGTGGAACAGACTGTAGTGATGGACACAAGAAAGAGCAATAGATGCTCCTTCTTACTTGCTCACTGGCTCTCTCCTGTCAAGCAAGCAAGCAAGCAGTAACAACTGTGAGAATGAGGATGAGAGGCATGAGCAGCTGGTGACCATGGTGGAAAGAAGGCAGGCTGACTGAGGCAGGGTTGTCTTGCCAAAGGGCTGTCAAAAACCTGGAGCCAGCAGTGAGGTCTGCAAATCCACACAGTCTCTTTTGGAGCTATGGATACTGGCTATGGACTTATAACAACATTTATTTTAAAACTCTCCCACTGATTTCTCTTCAAAGTTTTAATAATAAGATAATTGCCTCTCCATGGGCCCATTCTCATCTCAGGAGAAAACACATATACTCAATGTTTTGGCTCTTTTGATGCTGTAATTTATCATTGTGGAGGTGGAAAAATCACAAACTGCTGGGCCACTAGAGCAGGTGAGCCATGCAGGATGTGGTGTTTTACAACCTCCATAAGCAACATGCCCAAACTGGGCTGTACAGAAAAAATGAGAACTAGGACTTTACTTTTTGCTCGTTGCTGGTAGTTCACCAATGCTGGGAACAACAGATGGCAAAAGAAGGGGGGAACGGCAGAGGATGAGGTGGCTAGATGGAGTCACTGAAGCAGTTGGTGTGAGCTTGAGTGAACTCCGGGGGATGGTGGAGGACAGGAAGGCCTGGAGGAATATTGTCCATGGGGTCGCGATGGGTCGGACACGACTTCTTGACTAACAACAGCAACAACAAGTAGTTCACCACACACATGAACACAGAATTTAACAGCTGCCATATTCCTAAACATTTACTCCTTAACTGTTAGTCAAGATTTACATTTACTATGAAGGCCAAAGGATGCAGCCCTGTTTTTCTTTCATGTTTCTGTTTGCAACAGTCACCCTTTTCTCAATACGCTTCTTTCCTCAAAACAGATGCTTTACCTACAGTGAAGTATCACGATGCCCATCGTTTATATTCACTGTATGTTTAGCACCACCTACTGGACATGGGCAGGTTTACTTACAAACAGATAGATGACAAATGCTAAAGTTCTCAGTAGAACAAGACTGATGCACAGAGGCCACGATGAAGAACTACAATTGGCCAAGAAAAGGATTATGAAAGTCAAACATACATTCCTGGAAATAATTGCATCAGCCTCTGAAAACATGAAAACAAAAAGCACAGTGGCCAAGCCTGAGCTGTTAACCAGCATAGCCCCCATTCGTGTCTTGCCTGCACCATTTCACTAGGAAAACAGGCAAGCAGCCATCTCTTGGCCTCAGCTGTCCATCGACAGTATGGGGGTAATAGAGCTGAACATCACCTTCAAATGGATGACCATTATTCAACCATTATTCTAGAGCATGAGAAAGCAACTTGTTGCCCTTCCCCATGTTTGGCCTACCACTCCCATCAGCAAAGATTAAGGATGTTGAGTGTTGCAGGCCACAACGTCTAAAGGGCCACAACTTATCCTCACCTGCCCTAGAGGTATGACTTATAGACAGTGGATGCTATTAATGTGGAAGTGAGTTTAGCTTTGGAGTCTGCACCCTCCTGTTCCCTGGAGGGAAGGATGTAGAAACAGGTGGTTTTATTTTCTTCCTTATGAAGCAGTATCAGTTCTGTAAATTTCATTTTTGATGGATTTGTTTCAATCTGCTTCTCCCTTCCTTTGCCACCAGATGCAACATGTACGAGGTCACACACACGCTTACCTTCCACTGTTAATTCTGCTGTCACCTGGCGAACTCCACCAGCATTTGTGGCCTCACATGTGTATGGGCCACCATCTTCCTCCTGCACCCCTTTGATCATCAAGCTGCAAAGTCCTCGAATGCTGCGGTCAACTACATAGCGCTCTCCCTCCACCACAGGATGCCCATTTCTGTACCATGTGATCTGAGGTTCTGGGCTGCCTCTGACCTAGAAAAATTGGGTTGGAGGAATAACCAGGCAGTGGGGGCAGCAGCAGGGAGAGAATGGGGAGGAAAGAAAGAAAGTGATTTTATTGGGAAGAAATGTGGAATACTGCAAGCCAGTGGAAAGTATTTTCTCAAGCAGTATCTGTTAAACACATACAAATTGTTGGGAGCCAAATGGCAAAAACCTGAACAGAAAGAAGAGAAACTATTGGGTGCATCAAGCTGTTAAACTAGCAATATTGTTCCAACAGGCATGTACCCAGGCATAGTTGTTTTTTAATTTTCTGCCTGTTGAGTTTTAAAAGTTAATAACAGAAATTTTTGAGCAGCAAATGTACACAGCAAACCTATTAGAGCAGATTCCAAGATGAAATGGCAGAGAAAAATTCATAGGCAAGAGCCTTCTTTAGCAGATGTATCCACTATGACTAATATTTAGAAAAGGCACTGTTCATACAGCCATATAAACAGACAACCACCAACAGTGGCAAAACAGTGCTGGTTGTGACACACATTATGTCACAAAGTGCATCCAAAATCTGGCAACTAATCTCACTCACACATGAAAACTGACACACGAGTTCCATGAACATCTCAGAACAGCTTTTTTGAACAGACAAACAAAATGTAGTGGGGAACAAAATGTAGATACCAGCAACCATTGGCCTATCTGCATTTTCCAGATATTTTTCACATTTATCCGAGTTTGTCAAAATTTTCATTTGATGTCAACATTCAAAATTTCCAAAATTCCTCTCTCACCTCCTATATATAGAGAGGCTATATACAGAATAAACCAAGGGAGCCATATCTTGCATTATGCAAGGCTACCACTAGTAAAGACCAAACTCAAATATTGGGAGATTCTCTGGTTCACTGACATTGATAGGCTTACAGTTCAGATCACAATTATGCTCACAGAACTGGTGTACATAGCTTTTTTTTTAAAGAGTAACTCAATGGTGCAGCACACGCCTGGCACAGGAAAAGTTCCAAGTTCAGAGCTGCTGCTAATATGACACTGGATCAGGCAGGCCAGTGCTGATATGCTTCTCCTACCAAGTTCTGACATCCTTGCCTAGTCATAGACTTTAAATACAGTTGATTATTTAGTATGACTGGAAGCCAAGGGAATATTTGGTTGTTTTTGAAGTTCTGTTGGTTTATCTATTCCACTATTCAAGCGCAGATACCCCTTAATAAGTGTAAAGATAAGCACTGAGACCCTGCAAACTTCCCAATGACCAGTCAACAATGAACCATTGCATTTTATCAAGCAATCACTCAAAAAGAGGAGTCTAGATAATGATATAAGCCTATTACATGTAGCCTGTGACACTGAAAATGTCAGCCCTGTTGATAGTTTTGGCTGCAACATAAATGGGATTTTTAAAAAGTCTTTGCACCAGGTGGCGTCCTTTAGCAGTTCATTTGTGTACAACAATGCCGAACATGAGTTTTCACTGACCATTCTGACCTCCTCAATGTACACATACAGTATATCAGACTAAGATGTTATTTTTGTGTATTTGAATATAATTTCCTGTATAAACATTGAAAAAATAACAATGAAGGCTACTGGAAGAAGGAATTTTGCATACAAAACTGGAAGACATAAACTGGGATACTGCACTTTTACAATATGTTGAGATCTTGGTTGGAAAGCTTCAGCAGAATGCTGAAGTTATTCCATAAAAGGACACATACTTTGGACACATATAGCATGTCAATGGCTCACAGTAGTCTTCATTCTTTCCTTCTTGAACTGTGAAAGCATCTTCCTATAGAAAAAGGAATGGGATGTTGCTCTCAAAAAGATCCAAACATCACAAAATGATGGAAAAGATGGAGTTAGCCCACAAAGCTCTGGGCTTCCACTGGAATGAGAATACTAGCATTTAGGAATTACTGTAGTGTACAGAATACTCTCCACTGTTAATTTAGTAACAAAACTTTGTTGCCTCAGGTACATGGAAATCATCAGGCAAGGGGAATTTGTAGATGTTCTTAAGAAAGAATTAATCACAAGCTGGTTTCTAAGGCACTAGTCTACATATTAGAGGTCACTGCAATGCAGACTGTCCAAATTCTAGCATGCCAAAAGCATTAAATAGGATGCATAGAACTGTTGGAGGTGAGAAAAAATATTTTAACAAAATACACCTATGTTGGCATACTTCCTACAGTGGCAACTTCCACCATCCAGTCCAGCTTTAAAAGACACACAACACAAACCAATGTGTCTTCCAGAATGCTAGTTTTTCCTTAAAACTAAATGCATTACACTAACTTTTATCTTATTTCCCTTAGCTCCTATTGGACCCAACTATAACATTCTTATCCAGTTCTTCACTCACTGTTACTTACTTCAACTCCTTTGACCATATTCTGGCTCTCCTAATACATAAGCTACATTTCAATATTTTCCATGTGTTTTTATTTTGCAAACATCAAGCCTCCAATTTGAGGAGGCAAGCAGGAATGGCATATTTATCCAGAAGGATAAGAAGAGTCATCCTAAGAAAAATAGAAACAGAGACAGATAGAGAGGGGGAGTTCACCTTCACAGCTTAATTATTCCAACCTTTTGCATCTTCATCCACTAATACTATGCTTAAAAAAAATAGAATAAGGAGAAGAAACAATTGGTGAATTATTCCATTGTGAGAATTTATGTTTCAGGCTGAAGTTTGGAACACAATTCAACCCCTGCGCTAAAAGATGTGTCCTGCCATAAAAGTGTCAGGTGATTCTGAAACAAACCTCAGCTTGATACTGATGGACCCATTCCAAAACTGCAGCAGGTTTCTATATAAATATAAAATTATTTTTTGTTCTAGTAACTCTTCCAGGCTGTGCAGAAACATCTGCCTTTAATAACACATTGACAATAGCTGGTTAAGGATTTATCTGCTTACTTAATGCTCTGCAACGTAAGGTGGCAACCCTTATTTACCGCCCTGTCTACTTTTTCCATGGGTTCTGCGGAGCAATGGTGGGGGAATGACATTTCATTCAGAACTCTTAAGCAAATGTGATCACTAAAAGGAAGGCAGAGATTTAAATGAAATTCACTTCCAAGTAAGGACTGCTTCACTGAATACATTACTTGTTTTACCATATCTTTACTGGTAAACTTCCATAATGCGTGAAAGAGATGGACAAATGCCAGGAACTGAGTTAAAATCAATTTCCAGTGCCCTGCGTATGTCCCTTTGATCCCCCCGTGTGTTGACTGAAGTTCATATATGCTTCAAATATTATGGTACTTGTATGCAACAGGAGACATACAGTGAATATGCTGAACATCCATCTACCATATAATGTGCAAATTAGTGCTGAATTCATTCAGGGTTGTTATCTTAAGTATAAGAGGCACAGCATAAGGAGCTCCCAACTAACAAAATTGCAAGGGCTTTCTCAGATGTTTGTCCATCTGCTCTTTTTGGTCAGATAAATGACAGCATTATGGCCTTTATTTATAAGCTACTCAGATAAAAAAAGAATCTGAACACATTTAATCAACATCCAAAATAATTTGTTTCTGATCTACCCCTGAAACCAGCAAAATACCAGAAAAAGTATAAACTAGGGAAAACCTTTTCAAGATCCAATTAAACTGCACAGACCTTGAACTTGTAAGGAAAGATGCAGTGCTACAGCTCATAAGCACAATGTAGAGTAATTGGACAAACTGTATTATTAGGCAGTAAGTACAGCATGAAGAGAAGGTTAGCTCCTTGTACTAAGTCAAGTCACAGTTACTTTACTGTTGTTTTGTAAGTACCGTGAACCTTTTTATTACCTCTCTGGAAGCTCAAATCAAAAGTAAGATTACAAAAGAAAAAAGATGCTACTCAAATATGTCCTCAAATGCACGGGAAGAATCTGGGCTCCATCCTGTACCACACAGACCTCACCTCACACAATGGGTCTTCTCCCTTTCTTCTTCCCCCTGCAGGCCATCAAAATCATCTCCAGAAGGTTCCCTAATCCTCTGGAGCAGATTTGGGAGGAGGAGAATGGATGTGAGGAGGCAAATCTGTTCTACCAGCAGTATCCATTCTGTTGGTGGAAGGACCCAAGCAGGGCACCCCTCTGTACCCTTTAGAATACTAACTTTATAATCTTAAAGCAGTACCAGAGAATTACAGTTTAATCCAGTTGTCAATCTCCCCTGGACAAGAAGCTTATATTTCAAGGCCAATGATCCAGGTCACATGAGCAGTGATTGTTGTACAAACTGGAGAGCATCCAGTTCAAGAATGGTGTTTATGGTTTACAGCTCTTGGGACCAGCTCAGCTCTCAGGCAGACCTGAGATTTTTCAATGATGATGATGATAATGATAATGGCCATCACTCAAGAGTTATGCACATTCATTGTTCCATAAAGTCTTCTGAAACCATGTGCAATTATTCCAAGTTCATTGTTTAGTCAGTTTTAATTGTCCCTTCAGGTTCAGCCATCTCCAAACCGATGCCCAGCAGATGTTTTAGACAAAAACTCTCAACAGCTTCAGATGACCAAATGATGGGAGCTGTAGTTCAAAGCACAGAGTAGGCAGAGGATGAATTCATTCAGAGAATTTTGACTGGTATAAGAAGCTCTCTTGCGGAAGAAAGCATGGACTTAAATTATAGCCTATATTCTTCTGTCTTTTGTTCAGCAATCCTCATTTATGAAAGAGTTTTCAGTCAAATTTGAGATCCAGTGCAATCCCAGAATTTGCCCAGAATAACAGGCTGCAAGAATAAAATGTTTGCTAGCCAGAGAAACACACTAACAAGCCACAAACAGCTGGCTCATAGGCTCCTGCACAGCCTCCAGTGAAGAGTGAAGGCTAGTCTAGACTCCTAGATGGCTTAAATTAACTTTATCATCCAGCTCAAAAGAAGAATTAAATCCAGCTTCTACAAAACCATCCACACATTTCAAAGAGAAAGACTCAAATGTATGTTTCTGTTGCAGCACATGCTGTCACATTTTTGAAACTCTACAC